AAGGGTGCTCGTTCACTTCCCTCCACAGCAGGAGGTCAAAGTCGGCCAGTCCCTGCCTGCAGGGCTGCTGGGTCAGGGGGCTCGGGTAGAACACGGCCTTGGGCTAGAGCACTGAGCCTTTCAGAGAGGGGTCCTTAAGTCCGGGCCCCTCTCCCTGTCCACCTACATCCTGCAGGGGCTACATCTGCCCAGTACTCTGAGGCATCCCTCAACATCAGCTCGCCAGGGTAGGATCAGAGCAGATGCATCTCGGTTGGGACCCAGGGGTGAGCTTGTCCCACAGCCTCAGTGCCCCGTGTCCACGGGCTGAGAGACCCCTGGGGGGGAGGAGAGTAGCCCTCCAGGTTAGCAGGAAGAAGCCTCTTCTCCACACCCCTGCTGGTGCCTGCAGCTTGCGGCTGTGCGGAGTGGGCACCACCCCAGGAAACAGGCTCTGGGACAACACTGGGAGGAGCTGCTCGCTGGCCTCAGCTCCCACCGGCCTCTAGGCCCTGGGCATCCTCCTGCCGCTTCCAGAGAGGAGCAGAGTCCATTCCGATCCCCAAGCCCCCAGCCTGGGGCCAGGGCCCTCTGCGCGGCCAGCATGTCCTGGGCCCTTGACTCTGAGCAGTGCAGTCACTTTTGGAAACCAGCACGGGACTGAGTCAAGCCTCTCCCTCACCTCACAGGAATACGCAGGTGCACAGGTGACGCAGACCCGGCTATAGAAGCCTCCAGAAGCCACAGGATCTGACCCACGCTGAAAATGCCCCAGAGACAGAGAGTCCCGCAAGACACTGTGGCCTCCAGAGGCCAGTCTGCTTCCTCAGCCTCTCTGACTAGGGCCTGAGGATCACACTTCTAGAAGCTTCTTTTCCCCTGGCTCCAGGTCACTCACCACCCGTTCCTGAAATCTGGCTCTTTTCTTCCTCTTCCCATTGCCCAGTGCTCCTCAAGGATAAACCCCTCTATGCCTCCACTCTACAACAGCTCCCTGGCTGTCCCCAAATATAATCTATCCCTGGAACTCCATGCCTGGCTCCCCTCCACATCCCCACCCCCCCAACCCCCCACCCCCATCTAACTGAATGGCTCCATCCAGATGTTCCCCTAGCACCTGCAGTTTTAGGACCTGAGCCCCTTCTAACATCTGTGCTTCTATATCCTGCCCTGGCATGATCACATGACCTGGGGCTCCCTGTGGGGCTCGCACTTCTGCAGCCGTAGTCTAATCAGCCTCCCACCAGCGCCACCCTCCCTTCCACTGCCAGCTGCACCTCCCCATGGTCACCTCTGCCCACACACCCTCGTCATCAGCCAAACACCCAAGCACTCACACTTCGACCTGAATTAGCCTTCCAGATAACTCCCCACGCCCCGTTCTTCATGCCGCCAACCCACCCCCACCTACATCTCACCGTGTCCTATCCAGGTGCTCAAGTCTTGGTGGAGTCCCTGGGCGTGCCCAACCCATCCTGGAACTCTCTTCCCTCCATCGTTCATGGCCAAAGCCCACTTTCTCAGACAATTCCTGACCCACACAGTTCCTGGCGCTGACAGCCCTAGCACTGTCGGGGTTGAGCGCACAGTAATAACCATAAAACTTGCTCTAAGGGGAAACTGTTACTGGAGGGGAGAGTGCTTGCCTTGCACATGCCTGACCTGGGTTTGACCACCAGCACCCCATATGATCCCCAGAACCCCACCGGGAGTAATCCCTGAGTCAGAGCCAGGAATAAGCCTTGAGCACCATGGGTGTGGCCCAGAACAACCGCCAAAAACTGTTCTAAAGAATAATGTCCTCTGGGAAACTTAAAAGCACTTTCCTCGCCATGTCAGGCCCTGGGCTTGATCCCCAACACCACAAAAATGACCATCCTCCATTTCTTCCCACCCCAGCTCACTCCACCGGTACCTTCCTTAGGATGGCTTATGGGTGTCCTTGACACGTGCACGGCCATCAAGTGGAAGATGAGGACTCTCCCTACTGTACTGAGTGCACCCTGGCCCATCCCCCAGCACCAGGCCTGAACTCAGCAGGAATGGCAGCCCCAAGAGGGGGTGACGTGTGAGGAGAGATGTGAGGGGTCGGGAGAGGGGTGTTGCATGCTCCAGCACATTCCACAAAGGTCACGCGGGCTCGGCTGGGACCTGGATCTGGAAGGGGAAGGTGTGGAACTGAGTCCCCACTACCCGGCCCCCTGCCTGGTCCCCGGCCAAGGCCTTCTCACTGGGCACACTCTGTCCCGGCCCAGCCCCCAATGAGCACCCTGAGGGCACCTTCTTTGGGCCTAAGCGGCCACTGACTAATGGCTACTATCTAATCCTATTGTTCATGCTGGACGAGGCAGACCCCAGACCTCCCACTGCTCACCACTGCAGAGTACACAGCCTGCAAGGGACAAAGAAAGACTCAGGGAACAGCTCTCTCCCTCTCTCCCCAAGACACCTGTGCTCACAGACCCCCCCCAGACACAGTGGAGGGAGTAGCTGGGCTGCCTTTTCTTTTGGGGGGAGAAGGAGGGACTTGAGGGCTGCACCAGGCACTTCCCAGGGCTTATTCTTGGCTTTGTGCTCAGGGATCACTTTTGGCAGGACTCAGGGGAATGGACCAGCACTGGGGATCAATCTGGTGTCCTAACTCTTCAGTCCTGGGCTAAGGGTCCTGGAGGCCTGAGCAGATGGTCATTCTGCAAACAGAGGCCTGAAGATGGCGGAATAGGCCCGGCCACTGAGTCTCTGAAGCAAGATGTCCCAAGTTTGGGCAGACCAGCACCAAGGCCAACACCATGAGAGAAGGCGCTCAGGTCCCACAGCAGCCTCCCGCTCTTCTCCCGGGAACACGAGCAGAAAAGTGGGCACAGAATGGGGGCTCTCACCCACTTATAGGTACTCTGGCTGTGCCAGGCAGCACCTCTGCAGGTATGTGTGCACGCCATTAGAGACCAGAGGACAGGACTCTCAAGGGAGAGGACCCAAGTCTCTGAGAAGCTTGCGAGGAAACCCAGGAAGGACCCTAGACGGGACCCGCCAGCTGAGCAGCCCCTGAAACTAACAGGCAGGTTCTTCCTTGGCACCCGGCCGGCCTGAGGTGGAAACTACTTCTATAGGAACTGAAATCACCCTTCCTCAGAAATAGCCACTTGATAAAAACTAAGATGAAAGGACTTGACCAAACGTTTCTCAGCACCCCATCACAGCCCATGGTGCACCCACGGGCTGAAGGCAGCAACCCTCAGGGACTCGTCTGAGGCCCCTCACCCGCAACCAGCAAGGACCTCAGGGAGGACAGACACCAGGGCGATGGCAGTGCTCGTTGCCAACTCCCCCTAACCTGGAATACAGGTCTCCACCCTTCGGGCTGCCGGTCTTCCCAGTGAAGAGCTGAGGGAGAGGCTCTGGGCAGCTGAAAAGGACCCCTTAAGGGAGCCATTTGTCTTGACAGTGGGATGGGGGAGACAACAGTGATGAGACTTGCCCGCAGAGAACCCCCAGGAGAGGTGGGCTGGGTGTAGAAGGACCTCCCAAGAGAGGTGAGTGGGATAGAGGGGATCCCCCACAGCAAGAGGTGAACAGGGCACAAATGGGACCCCCAACAAGAGTTAGTGGAATAGGGCTGAGTGGGACAGTGGGGATCACTATGGGAGGTGTATGAGGTACAGAAGGGACCCCCAAGGGAGGTGAGTGGGGTGCACAGGGGAACTCAGCATGCTCAGAGCCCCACCTATCTCCTTCCCCCACCGGAGATGCCCCCAGCCAGGGCTGGAGCCACCCACCATCTACACTCTTTTTGTGGGGAGGAAAAAAGACACCATGCCCCTAAAAGGCTACTAGTTTGCGGGGTGGAAGTGAGGAAGCAGCTGGGCTGGGGCTGAGCGGGGAGCGGGCGGGCGGGCGGGCGGGCGGTGGGGCTCGGGGCTCAGGATCCAATTACTCGCTGTTCCATACTTAGCCACCTGACAGCCGCCTGGAATCCTCACCACGACAGCCACTGCAGCCCCAGGAGCCCAAATTAACTCAAGGACAGACAAGGGCAGGGCCCAGAGGCGCAGGCAAGGCTGGAGCCCCCCGCTTTGCACCGCTAAGTGCAGCCATGACCCCACATGTTCCTGACTGCCCCTCGCTGGCCCCTACTACCCCCGGCAGCAGCAGGACCTCAGAGACCTAAGAGGCTGCAGCTCTCCCCAGGTCACTGTGCAGATGAAGAGTCATAAAAAGATCAGGACAGCCTAAGATTCTGGGGCATCCCCAGAGCACCCCCACAAGCATCCCCAAGGGGAAGCTAGCCTCAAGAATCTTAGGAACCAGAGAGGTGGCAAAATGTGCAGGCTCCCCTCCAGGGCCTAGAAATAACCCCGGCTGTAACACGAGCCAGTGCTGGTCCTCAAGCCCAGTGCCCAGGAATCAAGGCTTGAGCCCCCTTCTAGGGAAGCCCCCTGCCTGGAACCTACTCCACACCAGGACACCCCATTCTTCCCTGAGCTATGTCCAATTCCGATTCAGTCCAATCCTCAACTCTCCAATCCCATCTTAAACTGACCCCAGTTCTGCCCCCCCACCCCATTCCCAAGGACCCCCAGTTCCATCCACACTGCCTCCTGCCACCCCTGTCCTCTGTCTTGCAAAGCCTGGTCTCAGCTGGAACTGGGCCTGGCCATCCCCCGCTAGAGGGTCAGCTGAATGACCTCCAGGGGCACCTCAGGCTCTAACTTTGGGTTCCTGTGTCCGACCTGACACTGGGGGTCATCCTCTCCAGTGCCTACTGGTCAGACTGGCTCTCTGGCCACCCGGCTTATCTACTCCACTTCTCTGGCCCCCTGCAGCCCCTGCTTGTTCTGGGATCCTCACTTCTCTCTCCAAGGACCCAGGGAGAAGAGGATGGAGAGGTGGGAAGACCAGCAGGGGCCCCAGCAACCACAGTGGTCGGTCGCATCCTCCATCCAGCTCAAGCAGAGAAAGGAAATTGTGGGGGAGGTGCGGGGGGCACGCGGGGGGCTGCCCAGCATGGAGCAGAGCCATACCTGCCTGTCCTGGGAGCAGCAGCCAGGCCACAAAGCAGCAGAGCAGGACCAGCGCCCTCATGGTGACGGCCAAGAGAGCCCAGCTGCCAGGGGCCTCTATTTATAGGGCCATGCCGGCCAGGCGGGGGAGGGGGCATGCAGTCACTGGGGCAACTGGGCGGGCGTGAGAGGGAAGCAGCCCGGCCCCTGGAGGCCACGCCAGCGGCCAGGCCCTGGCTGCAGGGCCCACTGGACCCATGCCCCACAGTGGCCCGGGGGTCACATGACATGGGCCATAGGACAGAGGTGGGCCTCCTTTGGGTTGGGTCCAGAATTTGGAACCCAGAACATGCACTAACTTGGTCTAAAGACAATGACCTTCACCCGCAGTTTTTGGAGCAGCAGATTTGCAGGGCAAAAAGGAAGAAGTTGCCTCCCCCCACCAGATATCCTAGGTTGTGGCCGAGTTCGGGAGAGAGTCCTTGTGCTAAGTTCAGAAGCCCCCCACAGCTGACCTTGGCAGGGACAGCAGGAGCTTAACTTCCCCAAGCCTCTGGAAGGGACAGTGCTGACAGGAGGGAAAAAGGGGAGCTCGAAGCCTCGGGTACTCTGATGTCAGAGGTGGAGGGACAGGGATCCATTTCCAGTGGCACAAGGGTTCCAGAACCTACTGTAGCCTCTGCATTATGCCATCTGATGCACTTTCCTTCATGCTCAAGAGATGCCCCACAGCCAGTCTGGGGAAGCTTTGGGAAGGAAACCCTGGCCTGGTGTGCAGGGATAAGAACCAAAGCCCAGGGGGGTACCATCTGGGTGTACTCCTTAAATCCTTTCTGAGGAGTCAGAGATAGCACAGGGGGGAGGCGCTAGCCTTGCACACAGCCTACCCAGTTTAGTCCCTGGCACTGCATGCAGTCCCTTAGCACTGCCAGAGGACACTGACAGTGATCTCTGAGCACAGAGCAAGGAGTAAGCCAGAGCACCGCCACAACGATTGTGACCCAAAATATTTTAAAAAATTTTTAAAGACTTCAGCTCAGATAGAGAAGAGAGCACCAAATAAAGAGTGTTGGGAGGTTCCTCTCAGGATGGGAGATGCGTGATGAGAGTAGACTATAGACCGAACACGATTGCCACTCAATGTCTCTTTTGCAAACCACAGCACTCAAAAGGAGAGAGATAACAAAAGGGAAGGCCCTGCCACAGAGGTAGGGAGGGATGGGGGTATGGGAGGTGGGAGGGATACTGGGATTGGTGGTGGTGGAGAATGGGCACTGGTGGAGGGATGGGTATTCGATCATTGTATAACTGAAACCCAAGCACAAAAATCTGTAAGTCTACAACCGTACCTCATGTGTTTCATTAATAAAAATTTAAGGAAAAAATTTTAAAGCCTTCTTGGATTTTAACTGATATGACAACAAACTTAGGGATTCCTTTACAGAGAAATGACAGACTGAAGACTGTGATGGTTGCATTTATGGCCATGATGCCAGTGCTCGACTCTGAAAACAAGGTCCACTGGGGAAGGAGACCACCTCAGGGCAGGGTGGACCTCATCCAATCAGGCAGGAATGCATCCTTGGAGGAGGAAGTCTGCCCCAGGTAACACCCAGCAACAGGAACCACAGCCCCCATTCCAGCCTGCACCTCCCTGTTACCCCACCTCTCTCCCCCCTATCCTCTCAGCCCCCATAATGCATAGCCTCTGGTGCTGCCTGGTGGATGGAGACCCAGAACACCCTGACTAGGGCTGGAGCAATAGTCCCAGAAGGGTTGGGCATTTGCCATGCACACAGATGACTGGGGTTCAACTCCTATATGGCCCCCCAAACCCACCAGAACTGCTATGTGAACTCAAAGTCAGGAATAAGCCCTGAGCACTGTGGAGTGTGGTCCCCCAAACAAAAAAGTACTCTGACTGCCCTATTCTGGTGGGGAGAAGGGTCTCCCGAGGGGAGTAGGGAGTCCTAGGTGGCAGGGGAACACCCACCACCCACCACCCACCCACCACCATCCCCCAGGAAGGACACAGCAGGGCAGGTATGTAGAGAGCTGGGCATCACCTGTCTCCATCAGCACTCGGAAGGGGGCACCTACGTGGATCAGTATCTGCCTGACAAACCGTCCGTTCAATGCCTCCAACAGGGAAGAGAAGAGTGGTAGATCAGGAAAGGGGGTGGAGGAGCTGGGGGAGGCATGGGGCATGGAAAAGGGGTGCAGGCTGAGATTAGGAGGGTGTAGTCTGAGATTAGCCTCCAGGTGACAAAGGGTGGTTAGGCCAGGACTGCTGAGAGCAACTTGGTGTCACTGAGCCCCAGGACAGTCCCCCCAGTCTGGCTGAATCCCAGGGATCTCTGTCTGAGGCCCCCAAATTGAGGAACCTTTGCACCTGTTGTCACTCCCAGCTCCTTTTCCAACAGCAGAAGCTGGGGTGAGGGAGCTCGGGGGTCAGTGTGAGGACCTCATTCCTTCCACCTGGCATGTGGATCAGGCTCACAGCCCCCAGTCCTCTTGGTGGACACTCGCCCTGTCAATCAACAGAAGAAACTTGCGACTCAGCAGCAAAAGAAGGGAGGGGAGCAGACAGGTGGAAGGATTGACCATACCCCAGCCCAGCACTTGGCAGACAATCAGGAGAGGACGACAAGCACCATGGGGACTGTGGCATGTGGGAAGCAAAGAGAGGCTTCTGGAAAAAGAAGAGGACGAAGGATGGACTCGAGTACGGACAGTCAACAAAACTGAGGGATGGATGGGATGGCCAGACAGACCCCAGAGGCAGCTGGGGGATTTGTGTGTGTTCTATATCTGGATCTGAGACCAGTGCACAACTCTGCCGGTGAGGGCAGAGAGAGGGTACAGTGGGTAGAGTGCTGGCCTTGACACTTGCCATGGCTCACCTGAGTTCAATCCATAGCATCCCATATGGTTCCCTGAGCACTGTCAGGTGCAGTCCCCCAAAATTTTCAAAAAGAACAAATCTTCAGGCAAGGCCGAGGTCACAGGAAGCCCCTCGCCCTAGGGGCCCATCAAATATCTCAGGGAGCCCAACAACTGCTCTGCAGCCACAGACATCCCCAACACACGACACTGGGCATTTGACGGATTAGAACTCGCCAAGGCCAGAGTATAGAGGCTCCCCAGCGTTCACAGCATAGGGCAGAAACACAGGACTGGGAGGAACAGCTGAAGGGAAACAGGGAAAGGCAGAAGGGCAGCACCCCCACGGGCCCCTTGTGTGAGAGTGTAACCGGATCACCTGCCCGATTCAGCAGCCTTAAAATAAGAACCAACCTAGAGCTCCAGGAAGAGAAATTCTCTGTGACTGAGACTCAGGAATTTCTTCAGAGGCGCTGTGGAGAGAAAACACAGTCAGCTAAGGGTCCTGCAGTGGCAGGGCAGATGCCCAATCCCCTGCAGGTTTAGCCCACAGATACCCTTCAAACGGGGCTTAACCTCAGTGGCAACAATGCTCATGGCATGGGGCTGTACCCAGTGAGAGACATGCCAACAGCCATGTGTCTGTCACTATACAGGGAGACCACAGGGACGTATCCATACCACAGCTTGAACTTAGCAACAAAAATGGACACACAAGGGGCTAGAGCCATGGTACTGCAGGTAGGGCGTTTGCCTTGCATGCGGCGGACCCAGGTTCGACTCCTAACATCCCAACATCCCATATGGTCCCCCAAGCACCGCCAGGAGAAATTCCTGAGTGCAGAGTCAGGAGTAACCCCTCAGCATCGCCGGGTATGACCCAAAAATCAAAAAAAAAAAGGGGGCACACAGGCCTTGCAGAAGCCCCCAGATGGATTCCCGGCACCACACGATCCTCGAGCACTGCCAGAAGTGACCCCCAAAGCAAATCCCTGATGCTCAGAGGAGTCCTGGTGAGCAGAAGCAGTGAGACAAGCGGAAAGTCGTCTTGTCAGGACTTTACTTAGGAGCTGGAAATGGAACCTCCAGACACTGGACAGCCCTCCAGGGGAGGGCACCGAGGCCTCCCGGATGTCCAAAGTCCGTTAAAAGTTTCCAAGACAGTCTGAGGGTCAGGCTGAGGAGGAGACAGCTCAAAGGCTGGTGCTCTCCTGGGGTTCGGCCCGACACCTCATGGTCCCCAGAGCACCCAGGCGTGGCCCAAACACCAAATAAGCAATACTTTGAGGGGGGCTACCCCAGGGCTGAGAACGCCGAGCTCTGGGTGTGGCAGGGTGGCGCGGGCTCCACAGGGGTCTCTCCTCCTGCGCCCAGAGAGCGCCCAGTCTCGCGCGACTGCCGTGCCCCATCGCCCCCGGCCCCTTGGGGGACGTGGGTCCGGGGGCCCCGGCCAGTGTCCCCAGGGGGCGCGGTGGCCGCCCCAGTCGGTGTCCCGGGGGCGCCTCAGGCCGCACGCCAACTCTCGCGGGCGGGGCAGGCTCACGGGGCGGCTCGTCGTGCGTGGACGCGTCACCTCAGCTGAGGCGCGAGTCTCGGGCGCGGAGCCGTCCGCGAGGGGGAAGAACTCGCGGGACCGGGCCCAGGGGCGCGCCCGAGGGTGAGCCGCCGCCTCAGAGGCCCAGGGGCGGGAGTGCCCGGGCGGGGCGGGGCGGGGCGAGAGCGGGATGGGGCGGGGCCCGGCCGCGCGGGGACTTCCGCCGCCCGCGGGCCGCGGGAGGACGCTTTCTCCAGGTCCCGCCCCCAGCCCCGCCCTGGACCTATAGGAACCGAGCGGGTCCCGTGAGGAGGAGGAGCTTCCGCGCTGGCCGACCTGTATCGGGCGCGCAGCGCCCTCTGCTGGCGGAAGCCGGCGGGCGCCTCTGGCACCTGGCCGGGAGGGGGCGCTCTGCTGGCCTCGCCAGTACTGCGCAGAGACTCCGAAAATCGGTTAGCCAAGGCCAGATTCAAAAGCGAAGTACTGAGAGATACCATTTCTTTTTGTTGTTTGGCTTTTCTTTTTTGGGTCACACCCGGCGATGCACAGGGGTTACTCCTGGATCATGCACTCAGGAATGACTCCTGGAGGGGCTCAGGGGACCATATAGGATGCTGGGAATCGAACCCAGGTCAGCCTCGTGCAAGGCAAACGCCCTACCCGCTGTTCTATCACTCCGGCCTTCGGAGAGATTCCCATTTCTCTGATAATTTGGAATAGCAAAGTGACATCAACAGTAGTTTGGATTTCTGGGGACTTGGGTGGCAGGAACACTGGTCTGCCGAACTGCTTTTCCTTCCCTCGTTTCCTGTTGTTGGTGACTGGGACTGGCGCGCACTCTTGCACATCTCCATTTGTGGTGCTCAATCAGTTTTAAGCCAGAGATTGTACCTGCGCATCACCCACAACACCTGGTCCCTGCAGGCAGCCCCGGGCATCCACTCCCAGCCTTGCCAGAGCCATCCCACCTTCTCTGAGTCTTCTGTGTGATTACATCACAGGATACACCTTAAAACACTCATTATCTGAATGCTCCTTTCACTAAAGGTAACTGTCCCCGTGCCAGAGATGAAAACCAGGGCTTCACCCATGCTGGGCAAGCACCCATACAGCTGAACTCTGGTCCCTGAATGTAAAGTGCTTTTTTTTTTTCTTTTTGGGTCACACCTGGTGATGCTCAGGGGTTACTCCTGGTGATGCTTGGGGGACCATGAGATGCTGGGAATTGAACCCGGGTCGGCCGCATGCAAGGCAAATGCCCTACCAGCAGTAGCAAATGTGCTACTGCTCCAGCCCTGAATGGAAAGTGTTTTAAACTGAGCTGGACAGATAGTAAAGCGGCAGGATATTTGCCTTGCACTCAGCCAAGCCAGGTTCCATCTCTGGCACAATATATGGTTTCCTAAGCCCCACCAGGAGTGATTCCTGAGCAGACAGGTGTGGTCCAAAACCAACAGAAAATGCAGAAATGGCGGCAGCCAGGGTGGAGGGGAAACACCACAGCAGCAAACTGGTAAGGGAGCCACTTTAGAGGGATGGGAACCTGACATAGGGAACAGCTGCACAAGTTTGGGAATGTACCACAGGACTCTGAATCACTCCTTTAAAATGGTTAACTTGGCTGTGTCAATTTCTAACACTAGAAAGTTCTAGCAGGAGGCCAGAGCAATACAAGCCTTGCATGTGTGAGCCCTGGTGCACCCCATATGGTTCCCCAAGTCCCACCAGGAGTGACCCCTTAGCACAGAGTCAGAAGTAAGCCAGGAGTAAACCATGAGCTCAGCCAGTTATGGCCCCAAAACAAGAAAAAGCAAAAAAATTCTAGCAGATTTGTTTGTCTTCAAGTCTGGAGACGGTCACAGGGGACCTGTGTGAACCTGGTACTCTGTTCGCCTCAGTTCCTAGAACCTGTCACATGTGAGCCTGAGAGAGAGCTAGCAAGAGGGTTCCGGGGAGGACGGGACTTCAATGCCCTGCCACATCCCAGCTGGATGCAAGGATCTGGTCCAGGGTTACCCTAACCAGAGGGGCCAAGTGAGGCTCCACAAGGGGCTTGTCAGAGATGAGCGGGGCCACCGAGACCTACCCTAGGAGTGAGCTCTGAAAGATCGCATGGGTACCCCCTTCCGTTTACAGATTAGGGGACCCAGAGTGGGGGCACACAGGCCTAGGGGCCAGCTAGGACCGTGTCTTCCCAGGAGACAGGCGCGACCGACTCCCTGCCCACTATTCACCCCTTGCCCCCAACATCACTTCCTATCTTTGGAGAATACTAAGTAGTCCCAGGAATTCTGGGGAGCCTGTTTCCTTATCACAGGACCACAATTTGGGGCACCCCCACACTGCCCAGTAAGCTCAAAGCCCACCCCTAACTCCAGCCCTGGCAGCCTCCTCAGCCTCGGGAAAGCCTGAACCAGGAGACACAGATGTAAAAAACAAAGTACAAACTTTATTTTGTTTCTTTATAAAGGCACGGTGGCCTCTTGGTTCCCCCCCACACACACTTTCTTAACAAAATATAATAGCTTCTCCTTGAACACAAAGACCTCAAAAAACTGTAAAAAAAATTGTCTTAAAGTAACAAAACCAAAACAAAAATTGGGGGAAAAAAAAAACAACAAACAAAACAAAAAGAGAGAGAGACAGACATCTGGGGGCTGAGGGTGGGGAGCCTGGAGGGGGGGCCTGGGCAGGTGCCTGGCGGATCCGAGATGCAGGGCGGGGGTGGGAGACAGGAGCAGCAAACCCCCACCAAGAAGCAACAGAGACCCCCGGCCCCCCAGGGCACCCCCACCCAGCCAAACCCTCCACCCATGTAAGTGCTTCCAGGAAGGAGAAAACCAGAAAGAGGGGAGGTGGGGTTCAGACTGGCTCGGAGAGAGGGGGCAGAGACGCCGTGGGGTTCTGCTCGCTTTTCCCTGTTCTCAAAAACACGTTCAAATGAAACCATGGTTTTTGGCGGAGAGGCCCGGCAGCTCTGTGGCAGCTCCCCCGGCCCGAGGGCTGGGGGCCGCAGTCCGGGCCCTCGGCCGGCGCCCGGAGCTCTGTGCCAGCCTGGCCCCCACACGCGGATCAGGCAGCTTCCTCCCAGATTTACAGTATTGAAAGAGAGGTCACAAAAGAGACCCAAATGACGTCGTGATTTTGCAAAAATTCCTCACTCGATCGCCCGCATTTCTCCCGGGTGCTGCCCCAGCCCCCTCCAGCCCCCAGATGGGAGAGGAGGGCTGGGGTGGTCAGGGAAGGCCCCCAAGCCCAGCCGGCTCCTCCCGGCTCTGGTCCATGGCGTCGCTGTCCGAGCCTTCCGAGTCAGACGCGGTGTCCGAGGCCTGGGCCTCCGGGCAGCTGCGGACCGGCTTCACGATGACCGCCCTCCGCTGTTCCTCCTCCTGCTCCAGCCTGTCCTGGGTGCCCTCGATGTGCTGGATGGCCTGCGGGGACAGGGAGCAGTGAGGGGGGCCCAACACGACGCCCCACCCTGTGGAGCACGGAAGTCACCAGAAACCCCCTATTGTGGGGGGGGAGGGGCCAGCAACTCCCGGGAGGGTTTCCTCCTGCGAAGCCTTTCAGGGTCACAACATCGGAGTCTGCCAGATGGGAGTCGCTCTAGGCAGGCCCATCCCAGTCCCCCCCTCCCCCCCACCCCGCCACCACCAGCCCCAGGTACCTGCACGATGGTGTCCAGGTTTTGCCGCGACGTGGACACAGAGTTGATGACTGAGGAGGGGCCCATGGTGACGACGTTGATGTGGTGGGAGGGCGGGGGAGGGGGCGCCGGCACAATCACGGTGGGGTGGTGGGTGGGGGCCGGAGGAGGCAGGAGCTGCAGGAGAGGGACCCCCGGGGTCAGGAAAGAGGTGGGGCAGCCCTCGGAGCCACCACCTCCCGCCACCCGCACGGAAGGGCCCTCGGAAGGAATCCGGCCCAGCGCAGCTCACCTGTGTGCGCAGGTGCTGCTGCTCTCGTTCCAACTTCTCCTGGTGCAGCAGCCGCACCTGCTCCTGCTGCTGCTGCAGCTGCACCTGCTGGGCGATGACCTTGAGCTTCTCGGGGTACATGTGGGCCTCTAACGAGCGCACCTGTGCAAGGGAGGGGGGCTCAAGGACCTCCAGACGCCCACCAAGCCCGGGACGCCCCCCTCACAGTGCACCCGGAGGCAAGCCCCGTTCCCCGGGACTCGCTGCTCCGCAGCAGCAAGCCGGGCTGGCCCCGCCCCGCCTCCCCGGCACGCCCCTCACCTGCTCCTCCAGCATCATGCGCACGGAGCGCTCCTTGTCCAGCTGCTGCCGCAGCTCGATCATCTCCCGCCGCAGGTCCTCCGCCTTCTCGTCCTCCCAGATGTCCGGCGAGCCGATGCCCTCATCCTTGTCCTCTGCCCGCCGTCGCTTGGGGGACGAGCCGCTCAGCTCCTGGGGGACCCCGGGCATCAGTGAAAACGCCCTGACCCACCAGCACCAGCTCCCCGGAAGCCCCCTAAGACGTCAGACCCAGGTTCTCGGGCACCAGCGTCCAGGGACAAACGCCAGAACCGGAGGCTAAGAGGCGCCGGGTCCCTAACACGCGGGTCCCTAACACGCGGAGGTCCCTAACTGGGCGGGGGGGAGGGGCAGGAGCGGGGAGCGGCGGCGCCCCCTGGTGGTACCTGGATGAAGCGCTTGAGTTGCGTGTTCTGCTGCAGAAGCCGCGTCTTCTCCTGCTCCAGCGAGAAGATGTACTCGGCTGTCTGCTGCAGGATCGCGGCCTGCGGGCAGGGGCGGGTCAGCTGGGCACCGCCAGGGGCACTGGCTCCGGCCCCCGCCCTCGCCCTCCCTGCACCAGCCTACCTTGCTGAGCTTCTCGCCGTCTGTGTGAGGGATGAGGGTCTTGAGGGACTGGAAGCCCGCGTTGATGCTCTGCATGCGTCTCCGCTCGTTGCTATTGGCAATCTCCCGCCGGATCCGCCGCTCCTGGTCCCGCTGCGTCTCGGGGGTCAGTGGAATGTTGGCCAGGCTGCCAAGGGAGGGCAGGGCACGGTCACACTCCAGCCAGGGGTCCTCCGTGCCCTGCCCCCGCTGGGCCCCTGTCTTCACAGCTCCTCTGGGGGATGTGCACGCGTGTGCCCGCACACACACACACACACACACACACACACACACACACACACACACACACCACTCTCTCTCTCTCTCGCTCGCTCGCTCTCGCTCTCTGTCTGTCTCTCTCGACTTTCCTGGGCGGGGCGGGGATGGAACCCACGATCTCACACATGCAAGAGTCCTGCCTCTGCTGCATCCCAGGTCTTGCCTAGTCTTTTTTATTGGGGGGACTGGGGGGGGCGTGTTGTGGAGAGGCCAGTCCTGGCTGTCTGCTCAGGGATCACTGCTGGTGATGCTTGTGGGACTACGCGGGGCATCAGGTATGGGACTGGAGCTGGCTGGAGAAAGGCAAGTTGTACTCTCCCAGCCTGAGGACAATGTCCCTTCCTCCTGCCCATGGCCACAGCCACAGTGCTAGCCAGGCCCCTGCACTCAGGCCCCCGAGACCAGACAGCGGGCACTCCCTCCCTCGGGAGGAGGATGCCAGGCCAGCTCCAAGAGAGGCCGGCTGCCCTCCCCACGCGGGCGGCTGCAGGGGGCAGCGGGAGAGAGGCTCTGGCAGACGGTGGCTGGGTGCCACTGCTCGGAGGGGCGGGCCTGTGTGTGGCCTGGAAGTCCCCCATCGGCCCCCCACTGAGATGCCAGGACACTGCCCCAACCACAGCCGCACTTCTTCCCCACGGGCCCTTCCAGGGGCCCAGCACCCAGCTCTCCCGCCCAGGCACCTGGATGGGAAGCGCGGGGTCAGAGAGGGCCCAAGACACCCCACCAGGAGCAGTTGGAGACAGTCAAGGCCGTGCCTGCCCCATCTATCCCCTTGGCTTGGCCGGACCTGCGCCAATCCCCGTCCCCCCTCCCCAAAGGACCCTCCCCAAGCTCGCGCCCCAGGGCTAGAAGGCACTGCAACCCCCTCCATCCACAGGCTCCGGCTGGAGCGAAGGAGGAACTTTCCAGCTCGCTCACTTCTGCGCCCTGGCACTTCCCTTCTCCCAGGGGGTGACCAGGTGGTCAGCGGAGATGAGGGGGCTGCCTTTCTGGGGAGCCCGAGAGGTTAGGATGAGTCCAGGCTCCCCTCCCTGGCAGTGGCCGCCAGTTCGTCCGGGGCAGGTGAAAGCTGCAAGGGGGCTCTGACCAGTCCTTCCCCGCAAGTGACCTATCTGGGGCCACCAGGACACACCGCCCCCAACCCTTGGCACCCCTCCCAGTCAAGTCCCAGAGCAGAACTGAGCACAGGAAAGGGAAGCAGTGCGGCATGGAGGTCTGGGCCCAAGTCTGCGGCCTTGGGAGTCCAGTATGGGTGAGGGCATGCTTGACCCCCAAGCCCAGGGCTCTATGCCCACCCCTCTCCCCCAGGCAGAACTGTGGGAGTTACCCCTGGGGAAAGGACAGAGCAGGCAGGCACTACAAAAAAATCCAGGAAACTCTCCTATTTCCTTCCAGGTCACAGAAGCAGAGCAGAATCCCCCTGAAGCACAGAGGACTTGGGTGCCAGAGATATCGGAGGTCATCTAGCCGGACTCGGGGGCTGCCCCCTCCCCACCTGCAGGGGCACCCTCTGCTGGTGGCCCACACACAACACACTGCCCACAGCCACCTGTGTAACAGCAAGGGACAGCACCAGGTGCCGGGGCCCAGAGGTGAGGGGCCCACCAAGGGGGAAAAGCCAGGTGGCTGCCCTGGGCCTCGGGCACTCCCCACAGCTCCAGGCCAGAGCTCAGGGCATCACACCCACCAGGCCCCAAAACCTGCACTCTGGGGAAGCGGCCTGGAGCAGACGCCCCAATCTGGGGAGACCCGAGAATTCAGAACCACGGGTCCAAAACAGGTCCCAGAACCCAAGGGACCCCGCTGCTCTCTCCCGGCTAACTCTGCCCATGTCCCACCCCGGGCCTTCGGCCACCTGGTCCATGAGCCCAAGGTGCCGGTTCAGAAACTTCCTGCAGGGGCCAGAGCGATGGCACAGCAGGGAGTGTGTTGGCTTCGCATGTGGCTGACCTGAGTTCGAACACCAGCATCCCTTACGGTCCCCTGAGCAACACCAGAGGTAATTCCTGAGTGCAGAGCCAGGAGTAACCCCTGAGCATCGCTGGGTGTGACCCATAAAGAAAAAAAAAAAAAGACCCAAAAAACAGTAACCAGAAACCTTCTGCAGGGGCAATCAGGGCCCTTGCCCTGCACACAGCTGCCCCAGGTTTGATCCCTGGCATCCCATATGGTCCCCTGAGCACCACCATGAGTGATCTCAAGCAGGAGTAACTCCTGAGCACTGCTGGGTGTGGTCCGAAATCCCCCTTTAAAACAATTAAAGAAAGAAACCTCCTGCAACCTTAAATTCAGGAAAATTGGCTTCACCCCGGGATGACTGACCTAAGCGGAGGTGGCGCTACAGCGGCTGACCTTGACGTTACCAGAACTCGGCTAGAACTGTGTGCTGATTGGGGTAACGCTGCCTCGCCAGGGACACTGATTGGTGGACTCGTGGCTAGCCAGGAGTCCTGATTGGCGTAGCGCTGGCCAACCAGGGGTGCCTATAGATAAAGGATGGCTAATTGGAATTTCTACTGGATAGAGGATTCCCTTGCCTGAGAGCTTCTTACTATTCTTCCCAGGTTTGCAAAGATAAATGATTTCTAGTCTGTGTGTAGGTCTGTCCGACCCCTCAGTGTGAACTCACTGAATCTGTCTGGCTCTCATTCCACCTGCCTCCTACCAGGGGTTGCCAACGGCCAGGGAACCAGCCTCAGTATTAACACCTCCAGCCCCCCATGGCCAGAGACCCTACAGAGAGTCCCTGGGACTGATGCTGTACCCCACCCAGGCTGGGAAAAGAGGCTGAGACATCGCCTTCAAATCTCCATCCTGACTCCGACCTGACCCTCCCGCCAGGTGCCACAGCCCAGCTCCAACCTCCAACTGACCACCCCCAGTGGTATTCAGGGGCTGCTTCCAGCTCAGCGTTGGGAGGGGCCCGAATGCCAGGATCTGAACATGCAAGTCAGGGTGTGAGCAGTGAGCTAACAGGACCACAGTCCCCGCCTGCAGGACAAGTTCTAAGGGACTCGCTGAGACGTGGGGGGCACCCCTGGCATTGCCAACAGGGCCGTGCCTGGTGGTGCTGTGGCTAAATCTGACTCTCAGTCCAGCCAGCAGCAGCTCAAGCAGCGAGGAGAGGCCCTGAATGTCCACTGGGCGCCAGCCTGACCTTCAGTACAGGAAGAGTGGCTGAGCAAGTGACCAGTTCTTTTAAGCACATCTGTGGCCCCACCACTTCTCTCTTTCACGCCGTCTCACCCATGCCTACAGTTGCAGAGGAGTCCACGTGGGGTCCTGTCCACACAGGACCCTGTCCACAACCCCAAATGGACACCCAAGACACTCCCCGGCAGCAGCACAAGGGTGAAATTTAAGTCCCGCCATGGATAATGGAAAGATCTTTCTGGAAAGATGGTACAGCAAGCAGGGCGCCTGCCCTGCATGTGGCCGACCCGGATTCAACCACCAGCACCTCACATGGTCAGGCGTCATTCCTGAGTCCAGAGCCAGGGGTAAGCCCTGAGCATCTCCGGTGTGACCCAAATCACCCCCAACCCAGAAAGAAAACAACACACACAGAAGGGCCAGAGACAGTTCAGATGCCAACAACTTGGCTGCCAGTTCAATCCCCGGCACCAACCCCCAGACACCACCAGCAGCGAGTCCTGAGCAGTTGGGAGTGAGCCCTGCGCACGCCAGCAAGAGAGAACAGAGGCAGCAAAGTGCACCGGTGTCTGCAGAACACCAGCAAGGACGCGGGAGAGGCCCTGGGTGCCCACTGCGGACCAGCCCCTCAGCACAGGAGAGTGGCTACCCAGTGACCAGCAGGAACCACGTGGCTGCCTGCACAGGGCGCCCTTAGGCAGCGCTGCCCGGGCACGGGTCACGGGAGCTCGGGGTCCCACCCGACTCAGCAGGGCCCTGGAAAACCAGCAAACCCAGCGCCTGGGCGACACTGCGGGCGGCAAGGCGTCATCCCCCTGCTGACCAGGAGGGTGGTCCCGGGGTGGGACCTGAAGTGCGTGGGACAAGCAGCGGGGAGGGGGTCCAAGGCCCCCTCCGTGGAACGCCCCCCCATCCCCGTCTACACTTAGTATTCCTTCCCAGCGTCCCACATACGAGCCCCAAGGCCACTAACCCAGGAAAGGGGGTGACAAATTCAGTGAGGAAACCCCAGCAAGACAATTCCCTAGGACTTATTAACAATTTCCGGGTTTGTTTTTTTTTTTGGCCTCTAAGCGGGCCGTGCGGAAGGCTCAGCATTCGGGGCAAGGACCCGGCCACCAGGCGCGTCGTCTCCAGTGACTGGCCTTGAACTTGGGCGCGCACCAGAGGACCCCCAGTGCCTCGCAGCCAGCCAGGTCGCGGCAGCCCCGGGCCGCCCCCCGGCCCGGCCCACGCCGCCGCGGGCTCCTCCCCCGGGCCGCCGAGCACGTGGCCCCGGCCCCGGGGAGCCATTGCGCGCCCGGATGCGGAGCCCGCGCCCCCAGCCCCCCACGAGCCGCTGCGCTCCTGGCAAGCGTCCGTGAGCCGGTGCCCTTCGGCCACCGGGCGCATCGGGGGGCAGACGGGCGGGCGCGCCCGGGGAGGGCTGCGGACCTCGGGCGGCGGCAGGGGGCGGGCAGGCGAGACGCACGGGGCCCGGGGACCCGGGGACCCGGAAAGTTTGCAGCCGCGACCCACGTGGGGCGGGCTGCGGCCTGCGACCCACTGGCGGCCCCCGGCGCCGCACGCGCGCCCGTCCGCACCCGAGCCCCGGCAGCCCGGCCCGGCGAGCTTTGTGCGGGGGGCAGCGTGGCCCGGGCGGCCTACAAGTCCCACAATGCCGCGCCCGCGGGGCGCCGGGAACTACAGCTCCCGAGAGGCGGCGCGCCCAGGTCCGCCTACTCCAAGAGGGCTGCAGAGTCACGTCCAGGCCGCGCTAGTAAACAGCGCCCGGGCGGCGGGCGAGCGGGCGAGCGGCGCCCAACGTGCCCCGGGCCGCGGCGCCCCCGGCCGTCCGCGCCGGCCCCGCGGGGCCCGCCCACCCCGCACCCCCGCGCGAGCACGCCCCCAGACCCCGCGGCCAGCCGGCTCCGCACACACGCCGCCCGCGCGGCTCCCCGCCCCCCCCCCCCCCAGTGCGCCCCGAGCCGCGGCGTGGCTGCATTGTAGCCGCCGCCGCGGTCCCGCGCACGCCCCGGGCTCCCCGCGACCCCCTCGCAGCGGGGCGCCCGGAGGGAGCGAGGAAGGGGGGAGAGGAAGGAAGCCGCCGCGGGAGGGGGAGGAGGAAGCGCGGGGGGAAAGCCACCAGCACCCAGCATGGCCGGGACTGCTGCAGGACCACGTGGGTCTGTTTGCAATTTACAAACGTCGCGACTCGCCCGCCTGCAGCGGACAAAAGTGGCCGGGGCCGCTCGGGGCCCCCACGTTTCCAAAGAGGAGGGTCCCCAGGCGGCGCGAGTCCGGCACGCGGGGCTGCAGCCGCCCCCGGCCGCTAAGAAAGGCGAATAAGGTCGGCGGCGCGGGCCATGCGTGCGCACACGCTCGCCCGCCCGGGCGCGCTGGCCGGGGTCTGCAATCGTAGGGAAGGGGTGAGGGGGAGGAGGAGTACACACCTACAGAGCCCTCCTATCACTTCTTTCTCTGTTTTCCTGAAATGTTGCAAAGAGGGCACCTTCTGAGTGGGCACCATGAAATACTCCATAGCGATCGGCCCCCCTCCTCTGCACGAGCCGGGTCCCGAGGTCCGCGGGAGAATGCAAGATGGAAATCCGAATCAAAGGGCAGCGCCGGACGGAGGTGCAGAATCGGCCGGTCCCAGATGCTGGCGGCGGCGGCGGCGAGGGGAGGGAGGCGGGCGGGAGGGGCGGGAGGGAGGTCTCTCCGGCCTGCCTCCCCGGGCGTGTGTATGTGTGTGTGTGTTTGCAGCTGATCAGATGTCTGTTTCAAGGCGGGAAACAGCTGGTGAAAACTCAGCACTCCCCCGGCCTCCTTCCGCGGAGTAAGGAATTGCATGTAAACAAAGGACTATTTGCAGCGCCCCCCCGGGCGCCGCGAGGCCCGGGCGAGAGGGGCGCGGGCCCCCGGGGAGCCGTGGCGACCCGTGCGTGCGGGCCAGCCCCGGGGCGCGGGGCGCGGGGGGCCGCGGGCCGGCTGGGGGGCCGCGGCGCGGGCCGAGCGAGCTGCGGCCGAGCTACATGCGCCACTATGGGTGATGAGGTCCATCAGCTGACAGGTTGGCAAGCGTTGCAAAAAAAAAGACCGAGGCCAGCCCCGGCGGGGAGCCCAGCCCGTGCGGCCGGGGTCCGGCGGGGACTGGGCGCGCGCAGGGGCGGCGGGCGCGGCGCTGGCCGGGGCGGCCCCCGGGCGCCGCTGGGCACTTTGCCTCCCGCGCCGCTGCAGCTGCACCCGGCGCGGCGGTCCGGCGCGCTCCCTCCGAGCCCAGGGCCCCCTGGAAACTTGCGTCACAGCCACCGCTTCCCACTTGGAACTTGGGGCCGACTTCGGAGGCCAGCCAGCCCCCTCCCTCCCTCCCTGCCCAGCTGCCCGCCTCTGGCCGGCCGGCCTCGGCCCCCGAGCCTGGGAATTCTGGGGAGGGGAGGGAAGGGGAGGGCCCGGGGCTGCCCTCGCCAAGGGGGGCCCCGCGGGGAGGCAAGGATGGAGTCGGGCCAGGACGGCAGCCGGGAGGTCCCCTCCGGCCTCGCGGCGCTTTCCCCCGGGCGGGGAGGCCGGGCGGGCGGAAGCGGCCGCGGCTCATTCATGGCGAGGCCAAGGCGCCACTTGCTCCCCCGCCAGGGCGCGCTCGGGGCGCGGGGTGCGGCGGGAGGGGGCCCCGCGGGCGCCGCTTCCGGACGCCTCCCCGCTCACCCTGCCCCGGCTCCCGCAGGCTCAGGAAGCCCGCGCCCGCCCGGAACGCCCCGGCCCGCCGCCTTCCCCTGCAGGGTTCCGCCCGGCGCGCCTCCAGCCTGCACGAGGGTGCCCGCCTCGCCGGCCCGCACGCACGCACCCGGCACGGGCGGGCGCTGCCCTTTTCCAGCCCCGAGGGCAGACAGAGCCCCCACGCAGCCCCCTGACCACCACCGCACGGTGCCCGCACGGCCTCGGGGGGCGATGAGCGCCGCGCTGCGAATGGCAGGGCTGGGGGCGGCACGCGTGGTGTCGGCGCTGTATCGGCCGACCCAGAGCCCGCGCCCGGGGGTTGGAAGTATCCGCTGGCGTCTGCAGTACCGCGCTGGGGCAGCGCACCCACCTTCCTGTCAAAGGCGCCTTCTCGGGGACCCCACTGCAGTCTGCCACTCAGAGCTCTCTCCGGGTGGCACGGCCCTGCCCTGCCCTGCCCCACGGCCGGGCACCTAGCCCGCTTGGGCTCATGAGGCCTGCGGCTTCCCAGACTCCAAGCACCCGGTTCCTCCAACCTTCCTCGTTCCTCCATCCCGACCCCCCATCCCCTGAAGGCGACCTGCCTGGTCCTGGTGTCTTGAGGGGCCCCACCAAACCCAGCGGATCCTCTTGCTAGAAATTAAGGGCCTGCAGAGGGGTTCTCTTCTGTAACCTATCTGTATTTCTTTCCTGTTGCTACTGTAACAAATTTAATGGCTTTAAGTAGATTGGGGAGCAATACTCTAGCGGATAGGGCGTTTGCCTTGCACACAGCCCATCTGGATTTTATCCCTCTGGCATCCATAGTCCCCCAAGCATCCCCAGGAGTAACCCCTCAGCATCTCTGGGTGTGACCCAAAAAGAAAAAAAAAAGATTGAGGAGGAGAGTACAGCTGGTTAGGCGAGGCACTTGCATTAGCCAGGGGTAAGCCTGAGCACAGCTAGGAGTGGCCCCAAAGCAAATAAAACACCCATAAATTTATTTTCTAGAGGATAGAAGTCCAAATGTTCCTGGGGGGTTGGGGGGACATAGTTTACAGGCCAGAGCTCATGGTTTGCATGTACAGGCCAAAACCAAAAAAAGTAAATAATAAAATTAGGGCCAGAGAGATACTACAGTGGCTAAGGTTCAACCCCTAGTGCAGTACATGGCTCGCCAAGCCCTGTCAGGAGTGATCCCTGAGCAATACCAGGTGTGAACCCAAAACCTGCCCACCCACCCCCAAGAAAAACAAGTGTCAACTGGGCGGAGTTACTTTTGAGAGCTGGAGGCTGGGGAAGACATAATCTCCTGGCCTTCTTCAACTGCTGGGGGCCCCCTGCTTCTTCAGCTCTTCCCACCTTCCCCCATCTGGAACAAACCCAGAAAATGGCTAGGCGACCAAGCCTGCTACCTGTTGGGACAGGTGTGGCCCATCTGGGGGGCACTTTCCTTCACGTTAGAGACTCTGGGTTGGAGTCCCTGCGCGCGCGCACGCGCACACACACACACGCACAGTTCTATTATTTGAAATACCTAGGTTAGGATTGCACCCCTGTCCCCTCCAAGGGAATGAAGTGTGGACACAGCTAGAACCTAGATGAATCTGAAATCACAAAGTCCCGGGACAGGAGCCGGACACAGATGGGCACATCATGGGTTTGCTTCTGAGCAAAGCAGGCAGATCCCTGGAGACAGCAGGTTAGAGGGGGCAGAGGGGCTTAAGAACAGGCATGGCATTTATTGGGGGTGATAAAATGCTCTAACACTGACAGTGATGATGGCTGCCCAGGTTCTGTGAATAAGCTGAAAATGACTCAATTGTCCTTAATTTAGTGGGTTTGGAGACGGGAGCGATAGCACAGCGATAGGGCGTTTGCCTTGCACGCAGCCAACATGGCCGACCCGAGTTCGATTCCTCCGCCCCTCTCGGAGAGCCCGGCAAGCTACCGAGAGTATTCGAGATGCCAGACACAGTAACAACAAAGTCTCCAATGGAGACGTTACTGGGCCCGCTCGAGCAAATCGATGATCAACGGGAGGGCCTTTACTTTTACTTACTTTACTTTAGTGGGTTTGGTGATATATTAACATGGCAATAAGTTTAACAGAAATGGGAGGCCGGGAGATGTCTCAAAGGGCTGGACACAGGCTTTGTGTGTAAGAGGCCTGGGTTTGATCGCTCCCCCAAGCTCTGAGCAGCTGGAGTGTGTGGGCTCCCAAAGCACATTGACAAGGACACAGACACTTCGAGGCTGGAACCATAGTGCACTGGGGAGGGTGCTGGCCTTGCACACAGCCGACCCGGGTTCCAGAGCCCCTGGCCCGAGAGTCCACTAGGCTGCTCCCTGCAGACCACAGGGCACGTGGCTTACACAGCCTTTCCTCTTTTATTTCTTGGTTTGGGGGGTCACACCCCCTCAGACCAAGCCTGAGTGAAATGCTCAGGCTTCCTCCTGGCTCTGCACTCAGGGATTACTCTTGGCAGGTCTTGGGGGCCATATGGGATGGGGGGGGGGGTCGAACCTGATTGAGCCTTTTTCACTACAGCATCTTGGAGACCCAAGGAATCATTTTCTTTTCCTTTGTCCTTCTTTTTGGGCCAAACCCAGTGGTGCTCGGAGTATACTCCTGGCTCTGTGCTCCGGCATCTCTGGGGACCATGTGGGATGCTGGGGATCAAACCCGGTCGGCCAAGACAAGGCAAGCGCCCTCCCCCCTGTACTATTGCTCTGGCCCAGAAACGTTCAGGAGTTGGGCGGAGCCTGGGCCGTTCAGTGGCTGAGGACCTGCCCTGCGCATAAGAACCTTTGAATATGACTTCTGGCACAGTCAGTGTGATCCCTGCGATACGCCGCAAGCAACACCACCACGACACAGGGACAGGGAAGCTACCTTGCTTTATTGACCAAGTGGCCACAAGCCCAAGGAGCTTTATTGACCAAGTGGCCACAAGCAGAGCTGTGGGGGCTCCCAGTGCACGGCGGAAGAGGCTCACTGGACTCTTACAGCTCTGTAGAGGCTTGGCTGGCTGCGTTCCCCCCAGCCAGGGGAAACCCAGGATGCGGGTCTCTCACCCTGGCCAGTAGGGGGCACTCTTAGTGTGACCGAGAGTGATAAACACCCTCCTGGGCTCCACGGTGTGTCTGGAATATGATTTTCTCTGGACCGATGATGTAGGTGTTTCTTATCACCGTGCAACCATAGTTCCTGAGAAGGCAGCTCACCAAGGGCCCACAGTGGGTTCTGTGCGTGGGCAAGGTCGGGCTCCTGCGGGCTGCTCAGGGCCAGCCTGGGCATTCCGAAGTGGTCAGCCGTTTCTTCCTGGCAGCTAGAGGACCAGGGACCCTCGTCCTGCTGGTTGTCGTGGGGCATCGCTCTCTGTTTCCGGGGGTCACTAGATGCCCCGTGGCAGGCCTGTCAGAGCCGCACAAGCCTCTCTGCTTCCGCCTCTTACTCGCCCCTGCTGAAGCCACCCAGCTAAACTTGCCTTTACCTCTGTCTGCAGTGAGGGAGATGGAACCCAGGTCCTGCCCACGTTCACTGTCCCATGGCCCTCTCTGGGTTGCAAGGGGCCTCCCCGGCTCCTCAGGCTCACTGGAGTCCTCTGTCTCAAGGTCCCATCAAGTTCCACAGTTCCAGGACACAAACCTAATCAGAGGACCCGAGCTATAGTACAGTGGGGAGGGCACTTGCTTTGCACACGGCTGACCCGGGTTCGATCCCCAGCATCACTGAACCTCCCAAGAGTGATGCCTGAGTGCAGAGCCAGGAGCACACACACACACACACACACACACACACACACACACACACACACAAATCACCTAATCAGAGACCTTATATTCCGGGGGTCCAGCCATATGCACTGGAAGCTGAGAGAGCAGGGGAGGATGCTTGGTCCTAGGAGAACCCTGTTACCCCCCAGGGGTGGGGACTGTGGAATGGGGGAGGCTCGGAGGACCCCAGCCTAAGCCTGGGGCTAGAAATGAATGGTCACTCAGCAACTGTTCGAGTGGGGATGAGACCCCAGAGAGCCAGCAAGTCCCTATCACAGAGAAGTTCCCTAACGCTCCCAGGAAGGCCCTTGTGGAGGTCTGAAGCAAACCCTAGCACCCCCAACCGGTGCACCTTTTTTCTAGTCTGACCTGGTGGGGGGGTGCGATCTCTGAGCCAGGAGGACTGAAGCCCCCCCTGCCACGAGGGGGCGCAAGACACACATGATGCTCTGAGAGGGGGACACGCATCTGGGGAACCAAGTGTAGGGGTAGGGCTAGAGGGGCAAGCAGCTGCTGGCCCCTGAGGCCCTGAAGATTTAGGGGTGCTGGCGGCTCTGACCTCCAGCTCTCTCATCCCTGTGTCAGCCTTACAGCACCCCAGGTCTGACCCTGCGCACAGGGGCCCAGCCCCTTCCTGTCTCCCTGTCCCCCTCAGGGCTGCCCCTGCCCTGCTCTCCCCCTGCACTGGGTCCCTGGAGTCACTTCCTCCCTGCACACTCCAGGGCAGATCCCAGGTCCTTCCCCAGGCACGTCTAGAAGCAGAAATGTCTCTCCAGGTGCCAGGGACCCCACTGGACCAGATAGTCACCTTTCTACAAGTTCCCGAGTGTGGGGCCCGGAGATGCAGCTGTGGGCAGGA